AGCAATTTTAGTGTGAGTATGCGAGCCGACAAAACGCCTCAGCACCTTCGGTGCGGGCGGATTTCACCCGTGACTGTCGTTCCCCCTCGCTCACCTTGATCGCCAGTCCTTTACTTTTGTACTGACGATGGCCTCCACCCTACTAGCGATGGCCTCCAAGCAAAGAAAAGCACCTCATGGCTTCGCAAAAAGAGCTTTGTCAGCTTGCCCTGTCCGTTGCCAAGGACTCTGAACTTCAAGCATGTCGCCTCCCCAGAAGTTGCGGGAGGGGAGCCAAAGGGCGGCTATTGAACATGAGGAGAAGCTGACCAACGCCATTCTGGTCGAGTCTGGAACCGAGTTCGTGGTGAGGGGCGGCGTGACATGTCTATGTCTAAAGTTTTCTCGATGCCTTAGGTTGGGGGGCTGTTAAAATCTACAAACAGGTCCTTTGCGGAATGGCCAATGGCTTTCAAAGCAAACCTTTCCAGCTTGTACCGAGAAGGGTCAATCGTGCCCATACATGCCAAATGTCGCCTGTTAAAAAGCACAGGTGTTATTTTATTGTTTTGGCTAGCGCGCTGTTGAGTGCCGATTGCCATGAGAAGAGGGGGCGTTTTGAGCAGTTATAGCTGTAGCTGTTCTCCGCAATGGAACGATGGCAAACGAAAAAAGGAAAGAACGGGGTCAAGGTTGAGAAATTACCATGGAAAATCTGGAAAGAAGGAGAGACAAGTGTGGCAACTCCAGAAACATGATGGGGGGCGGACCATCCAGGTCCACGCGGAAGATCTCGAGTTTTTCGATCAAGGACATCAAGGGAGTGGGCTGCATGCAGCGTTTGCGCAAACAGCCGAAATGGGTTGGATATAACTGAACCAGATGGACAGTTTAATCAGTATGTTCAGCATGTGAGATCATGTGTAGCTGTTTGGAACAAACTGGCCAGGAGGTGGCTCACCTTGCATGGGCTTTCGCCAACCTGCGAGTGCCTGTGGCTGTCTCAGACACAACACCACAAAACAACCTAGTAGCGATGGCCTCCAAACTAAGAGGGACGTCCTCCAACCTAAGAGCGCTGGCCTCCAGCGAAGATAGCGACAGCCTCCAACATACCTGCTGGACCTGGTTGCTGTGATTTTTGGAGTTGTTGTCAGGGTTGTTTTCCTGATTTATTGCAGTGCACCTGCAATTTTGTTGTAGCAGACTTTGCAGGACACACAACTCTTTTCCAAAATCGCAGAGCATGTTGAAAGGACCACAGTTTCTCGGGTGACGGTGCAAAACAAACTTTCGGAAAACATAATGTGGCTCCTTGATGCACATATATATATATAAATACATATATACATATTGTGTATACCATATATATATATTTAAAGCGGAACCTATTTGGCAGACGTGTCAAACAACTTCTTGATCAGGCCCAACGATCCCACTTTGAGTGTTGTTTGCAGGAGTGATGCAGCTATGCAACCAGCTGAGATTGCCAACATGGCTGGGCCCTTCACCTCCAGGGACATACAGTCAACATGAATCAAGAAGCTAGTAGAAACAAGTGCCTTACTAGTAGTAACAGGTGCCTTACTAGTAGTAACAAGTAACTAGTAGTAATTCCAATAGCTTCTTGTTACTACTAGTAAGGCATTTGTTACTAGAAGCGAT